AATCAGTGGCAAGAGACGCGAGCAATTAACCGAGGATCAGGCAAGGGAACGGAACGGCGGCCTTGCTTGTGGTGAGAGTTACTTCGGCGATCGTCGATGATGGAGTCTGAGTCGCCCTTATGGAGGTGTGATGATGATGACACCGTATTGCAACCTTGAGGGCGTTCTCTCTTTTGAAGACGTGCGTGTGTTTTTGTGTTGGTTGCCAGGTCGCCCTGTGTGTCTTGTGTGCACGTGTTGTAACGATTTTTACTCGATTTTTCGTTAATTAGGGGGTGTTTGTTTCCAGGGACTCTTTTGTGTAGGAACTAAAAAAAGTCCCTCTTAGAGACTTTTTTTACCAAACGGGAGGGACTTTTTAGGGACTAAACTAAGCATTTGGGATTAAATGAAGAAGACTCTAAAGGAGAGTCTTTTTGGGACTTTTCCAACAATGCCCCTTCATGCACCCATTGGCCCGCCACTCCATGGTGTTGTTTGATTGTTTTTTTCTATATACTAGGGGCAACATGATCATTTAATAACCTCTATGAAGGGACTAGGGACTTTTTAGTCTTTGGAAACAAACATGGAGGGACTATTCAAGGACTAGATACTTTTTAGTTGGGACTAGAAAAAATCTTAGGACTAAAGAACCAAATACCACCTTAACAGGCAATACTCTTCTTCTTCATTAATGAGATGAGGCGAAAAATTTACCTCCGTTTTAGAAAAAGAGAAAACGGCGGCCTTGGCAGAATTGCAAATGGTGATCACGGACCGTTGCTGGCATTGCGTAGGCTGTGATTGCAAGTATAGATTTGGGCGCCGGTCATCAACATCTCTGTTTTTCCATAGTATTTCCTTCGTTCAAAAATACTTGTCGTCAAAATGGATAAAAGGGGATATATCTATGTCATTAAAATGGATAAAAAAACTGTATTTAAAATTAAAATACGTCTAAATATATTCTCTTTTATCCATTTTGATAATCAGTATTTCCGAACAGAAGGAGTATATAATATAAGTGTAAAAAACTGCAGAGCAGCACGGTACAACTTGTTGGCCAATCTCATGAGCTTGGCGTCGACCTCGTTTGCTCCACCAACTTCAAATGTTCAGATTTAGAAGTTGACACTTTGTCTGTCTAGCCAAGTTTATATAAGATAATAATAAAACTGTGCTACACGAACGACAATTATTGCACGATTCCTGCACGACCTTGTTAATCCAGCCGCACATGCAGGGGTGTCAAAGGGCAACGGCCTCTCGATTAGCTGGTCGTCCAAAAATCGGGCATTATTAGTACGCGCAACAGTTTCGATAATAAGAGCAATTTCAATGGGGGCGACCTAAACAGATGGCGATTTTATCTGTTTTTTGTTTGTTTGGGTCGGCCATCCGTCCGGTATCCGTCCTGTTTTAGATACTAGTTGATGCTCCGCACGTTGTTGCGGGAATATTTTGCAATGTATTTTAAAAGATATTGATTTTATAGAAAAATAAGAATATTTGAAGAAATAATATGAGAGCTAAACTAAAAGTATATATGCTTTAAGGAAAAATAGAAATATTGGAGAAATAACACGAGCTAAAACTCAAAATGCATATGCTTTATTGTGTTTGTTTTTGTATTTTTGAAAAATATTTCTTAAATATATCATGCATGTTTGCATGTTGAGGTGAACTTTTTTCTATGACTCATTGAATACTGATGTGGGCCTTTTCTAATGCATGTTGTTTGACGAGGTGTCATGCTTGTATGTTGAGAAAAATATGTTAATGGGGCTAGCTATTTAGATATAGAAGATGGATCGACAGCGCACCCAACGCGTCGATCTATATATGGCAGTGTGGCCGGTTGGCCGCCCTATTTCAACAAATAGCTCAATTTTGCATTGATTTATTTGCATTTAAATATGTAGTCAAATAATATAGTTTGAACGAATAAAAATAGCATAGTTTACAAGCCGAATAGAAATAAAAACATCTCACATAGTTTTGCAAACGAATAAAAGAAGAAACATCTATTGGTTGCCAACATGAGCCCACATATGTTCAACCAAATCATATTGCAGTTGCACATGAGTTTCCCAAGCACGCATGTCATGATGAAATTGAGTGAACTGTTCAAACGTTGCCGCTCCTCCATGCTCAGGCACAACGTTCTCACTCTGAAACTGAAACTCTTGATCGTACATATGTTCCAAGCGCTCGTCTTCTACGATCATATTGTGCATGATCACACAAGCAGTCATCACCTCCAATAGTTTCTGCGTGGTCCAGGTATTAGCAGGATACCAAACGATGCACCATCGAGATTGCAAAACACCAAAGGCACGCTCGACATCCTTCCTAGCACTCTCTTGCTCTTGGGCAAATCTTTTCCTCTTCTCTCCGACAGGGTTGGGAATTGTCTTGACAATAGTGGTCCACTGACGATAGATACCGTCATCCAGGTAGTATCCTTTGTCGTAGTTGTGGCCTTTGATAGTAAAGTTCACTAGTGGGCTATTGCCTTCGGCAAGCCTAGCAAACACCAGCGAGCGTTGAAGCATGTTGATAACATTGTGTGATCCAGCCATGCCAAAGAAAGAGTGCCAGATCCAGAGATCTTGAGACGTCATGGCCTATAGTATGAGAGTGCAAGCCCTGACATGGCCCTTGTACTACCCTTGCCAATCAGAAGGGCAATTCTTCCACTCCCAGCGCATGCAGTCTATGCTGTCAAGCATCCCTGGGAAGCCCCTGCTGGCATTCATCGCCAACAAACGGGTTGTACCTTCAGGAGTCGACTTTCTCAAGTACTCAAGGCCAAACACAGCAATAACAGTCTTGTAGAACTTATACAGGGATTCTAGGCATGTAGACTCGCTCATACGGACGTACTTGTCAATGAGATCACCGGGCACTCCGTATGCAAACATTCAGATGGCGACAATGCATTTCTGATAAGAGGAGAAACCAATCTTGCCAACGGCATCCTCTTTGCATTCGAAATAGTCATCATAGCCAACCACCCCCTCTTTAATACGGTTGAAAAGATATCTACTCATACGGAAACGGCGGCAGAATTTTTGATGTTTGAACAACGAATTTGTTGTATCAAAGTAGTCCTTCCAAAGAAGGAAATGTCCACTTTCTCGGTTGCGATTCAACGCCGGAAGGTGGCTCGAAATGGAGGCACGAAACAACTGGCGTTGGCTGTTGAGGTGGTGATGGACCAACACGGCAGCCAATATCTTCTCCTCGTCATCAGACGATGAATCGTCGGAGTCGCAAAGAAAATTATGAAAAAAGAACTCACGCATCTACGGAGGCCACGGGTGTTTCTGCTGCGTATCTGTCAGTGGTACGATCACGGTGTAGGTAGGCGGTAGATCTGGGCGGCAGGTGTTGTGTGCATCTTTCCTTCGGCCTCTTTGTTCTTTTGCGCTTTGTTTCTGTGCAAGGATGTCGATCCGGATCCACCACCCGGTTGTCGTCGTTGTGCCCTCTGCTGCTGCTGCTGCGCCTGCGTGAGAGGGGGGAGCAAAGTAAATCCAGCATCTCTCTGCTTTACTTAAACCACTGCCATATTGTACAGCAGACTGATGCTCAACACTTTGCTTACCATAGTCGTATGATTAATTCAGTGCTCTATAGCAATGTTTTTTCGTTTTGTTTCTTGCAAGAAATTCAGTGGTCTATAGCAAGTCTCTCTTTAAAAACAAAAAAACAAAAATAGTACGTAGCATTACTACTAGCACCCGGTGAATTTTGATTGTGAGTTGGCCGCGGGCCAGATAAAGTTTGGCATCTCCCTGCCTAAAGCTGACATGAGAGTTCATCACCAAAAGAAAAATGCTGACGGGAGACTGCAGCGACGCAACCACCGAAATAATGCGCACAAGTACGACGCAGCAACCCTACCGAAATAATATTGATATTGCCCAAACTCAGTTTGCCGCCCATCTCACTTGTCGATATATATGCGTCCGGTTTAATACACTGCTCAATTTGGCGCTTTGACTAGTTAAATAAATTTCCCGATGTCCCGGAATTAACTTTCGGCTAAGATAACACCGACTCATCAGTTACCTTATCTGGTAACTTCTTCTCTATTTATCTTTTTGACAACTCAATTGCGTCCTTTTCTTCCTTTGGAAGTTACCGACTGAGCTGAGTCTTAATCAGTGCCCGGAGACGAGAGCAACAGAAATCAGTGGATAAAACCCTTTGAATGAATAATACTAAAAAAATAACTACGACGAGCTCCATTTTATCTGGGTGTGGTGTCTTATATTTTTGCTTCACTAACTTCAAATATCTTACCATCTCATACATTTAGAAGTTTGACACTTGTCTCGCCAAGTTATAAAATAACACTGTATTTGTAGTATGATTAACTTTGTCTAAAATAAACTTCCAGTCAAGGAGATTTGTCACCGCGGCTTGTATTGTAGAGTAGGACGGAGCCAGAGTGATGCACAAGAAACTGCAGACCGAGTGGGGTATGGTCCAAGAACAACATGCTGCCAATCTCAGTTTGGTGTCGACCTGGCCTGATGTGCTTGGGCAACTTCAGATATTTTCCCCAAGTTTCAGAACAGTAAGATTGTGATTATCTTTGGGACTTTGGCTATGAATAAATGTTGGTCAAGGGGACTTATCAGCGCCGTTTGCCAACAGGAACAGCACGCTCCTGCTTGATTGATTGACTAGTACAGAGTCTCTTTCATTCACCAGATCAATCATTTTTTCAGAAGACTACCAAATCAATCATGCGACGCCCATCTGATTGAGAACATTGTGCATAAACAACAAGATTGATGGAGCTTCTCCTCACCAAATCCAACATATCTTACACCAAACCGAAGCAACAATACAGACCCATCTTCATCTTCTAATCTAGTTTAAAAAATAGTACAAGAAAACACCAACAGAGACTATCTAGATATCCCAACGACGCCATGGAGGAGCAGAGCAGCTAGAAAAGGTCGCCGGCCGGAGTCTTACAATTACAAAGACTACTACTACTACTACATGACGGAGCATGCGTTGGGGTTCTCGTCGCTGAATGCGGCGGTGTACCTGGCCTCGGTGGAGGAGGCCCTGGCGAGCGGCGCGGCGGAGGGGTCGCTCATGACGTTGCGGACGTAGCCGGCGGGCGCGCGCTTGTCGTAGGCCCCCGGGGCGTAGGGGTGCGCCACCACGTCGTACGGCACGTAGGGCCACGGCTCCACCCGCTTGCCGGTCTTGTACGCCACCCGGCGCATCACCTTGGCCGGATCCACGTACCCCGTCACCGTCACCTTGTTCTGCTTCGGCGTCACCTCCACCGAGCTCACGCCTGCACAACCACAATCAAACAGATACACTTTGAGCAAAGCTGCCGCCCTAGATATAGATCTGGCCAAAGTCACCAAAGTTGAGGCAAGATTTTCTTTCCATCAATGAAGAAACATGTGCGAGATAGGGGAGGAATCGGATTGGGCCGGAAGGAGAAAGCTCGGATGGTACCTTTCATGTCGTCGAGGGCCTTCTTGACCTTGCGCTCGCAGCCCTCGCAGTCGATGCGGACCTTCATCTCCACCGTCTGGAACTGCTTCCGCTTCTTCATGTGCCGCCGACCCCGCGGCAGCGAGCAGTACTCCGACACCACGTCCACGATGCCCATCCCGCTCTCCTCCTTCTTCCTTCTTCAACCTCTCTCTCTCAAAGCCCAAGAAATTGTTCAGCTGGATTCGAGTTCAAGTTCTGTGGTAGAACTGCTGGTTGCTGGTGCTGGATGAGATGCTGTGTGAGACGAGGAATCCTTGGGCTGTGGGGGCTGCGTTTATAGGCGTCCGGGGGAGCGTGCTCGCCCACTGCCGGCGCGACACGTGTGGGCGGAGCCAGGCAGTCTGGGCATGGAGGGGTGGTGCGGCCGTGTGGGGCAGGAAGCTGGTAGGAAAACGGTGGGTTATGTGCGTGTATGTGTGGCTGGCGAGTGGGCCCCGCGTGGTCGGCAGTGCCAGGTGGCGGCATGGTGCCATGTGAGCGCTGGTGAGCGACGGTGACGCTCACCGCCGCGGCCAAGGGAGCGGTGGCAGCACGAGTGGCGTGGGAGCGGCGGTCACTGAGGGCCTGTTTGGATTCATGCCAAAGCACGCCCTGCCAAAAAATTGGCTAGCCCACGTATTTTGGCTGCTGTTTGGATCGATGCCAAAAAATTGGCTCGCCCAGCTTGCCCGGCTCTCCTATGTGTTATTTGCGCCAACGTATGGGCGAGACGTGGGCGCCGGAATGCTTCGCCAAAAAATTGGCGCGCTGACTTCGGTTGTTGATTGGTGGGCCCTACATGTATGCAGTAGGATTTGGCGAATATTATGGCTTCTAAACAATCAGCTGCGCTTTTTACTGAATAAAAAATGTGAGCCTTTGCGTGATTAGCATCAACTAAAAAAATTATGCATGCAACGCTGCACACAAATTAGCGACTTCCAACTGCAGAACTGCAGCATCTCTCTCTCTCTTGTAATTATATTGGCAACTTTTTTCTTCACGCCCACTCTTACTATCAATTTGTATGCTTTTTAATTTTAGTACTGTATAATAGACGCATTTAAATACTTTCAGAACTAGTGTCTGAAATTTGGAGCCTATCATGGTCACAATCCAAACAACAACATGCAAATAATTTGGAAGTTGTAATGGTCGCAATCCAAACACCAATAGCTTGCCAAATTTTTGGTCATGCCCTTGCTTTGGTCATACCAAAATTTTGGTAGGGCTAACTGGGGCTCAAACCAAACAGACCCTGACTTTTTTGTGCGGTGGCGAGGAAACGGCCGGCCGACCACCACGGCGACCCGGAGGAGTAACCGTCGCTTTGGATGCGTCTGTCTATATACTGGTCGTACTCCGGCCACCGGCCACCGGCCAAACACGCAGAAACTCCGGGAGTGAGGCCAACTCCACCGCGCGACCCATCTTATTCGAGTACGTCCGTTTAAGGTAGAATGGACGAATATCGCGGCCTAACGCGCGGTCCCAAACGGACAAATGTCTGGATTCCTTTCGTCTTCGATCTATCCCCGGCCTAATTTTGCACCGAGTTTGAGGTGAAACGGACATGGTGCGAACGGGCTTGCCGCGTGCCCTTGTCCTTCCGTGGCCTGCCTGTCGGGGACACTAGCAGTCCCTTCGCTTCCAACGCCTCCACCCCCTCTCCCTGCCCTGCCTCGCCGCTGGCGCCACCGTTATTCTCCGGCCGCTTCCTCACCGCGCAGCCCCCAACCGTCCATATCAAACCACGTCTCGACATGGCCGCCACCACGCCCGCGCTTTCGCCGTAGTTTTGGCCATCGATCAGAGGAGGTTTGGCCGTCACCGTCGTAGCCAGCGACAGAGGGGATACGACCACCGGCGATGTACCACGGCGGCCACGGAAGCTTCCGACGAGTGCTTCAGAGCGGCCAGTAGTCGGCCGCCAACCACCGCTGCTGCATCGATGTGATCATCGCGGCCTCTTTGCCACCACGACCGCGAGGTGTTCGACATTTTGCCCACAAAGGTATGGATAGTGGAGATGAGTTTTTCTTCCACCACTTCATTTGTTCATCGGACGATTCGTCGTCGAATGATGAAGATCTTGTGGTGGCTGCACTGGTCGTTCACAACCACATTCAACGGCAGCTTCCTCGGTACAGGGGGTCACTCCATGGCCGTGCTCCCAACCTGAACCGCAACGGGGAGAGAGGCCACACCTTGCTCTATGCCGATTACTTTGCGAACACCCCGCTCTTCAAGCCGGATAAATTTCGTCGACGTTTTCATATGGCAAGCCATGTGTTCAATCGTATCCGAGAGGGGGTGGTTGCTCATGACCCATACTTCGAGTGCAAGACGAATGCCCTTGGCAAGCTTGGATTCTCCTCTTTCGAGAAATGCACCGCGGCTATCTGCATGCTTGCATATGGAATTCCAGGCGATATTATGGGTGAGTATGTGCGTATGAGTGAGACAACATGTCTGATGTCAATGTACAAGTTCTGCCAGGCTGTGATCGAGGTGTTTGGCCCTGAGTACTTGAGGCAGCCAACTGCCGCTGTTACAGAGAGATTGTTGGCGACCAATGCAGCTAGAGGCTTTCTAGGCATGCTTGGCAGCATAGATTGTATGCACTATGAATGAAAGAACTGTCCATTTGCTTGGCAGGGCCAGTACAAGGGGCATGTCAAGGCGTGCATTGTCATATTAAAAGCGGTGGCTTCGCGGGATCTTTGGATATGTCATTCTTTCTTCGGCATGACTGCTTCTCACAATGATATCAACGTGCTGCAGCGTTCTCCAGTCTTCGCAAGGCTTGCAGAAGGCCACTCCCCACCTATCAACTTTGAGATCAACGGTCACCAGTACAACAAGGGATACTATCTAGTTGATGGTATATATCCTTAGTGGTCAATTTTTGTGAAGACAATCTCGAACCCCCAAGGTGAGAAGAGAAAGAGATTTGCCCAAATGCAAGAGAGTGCTAGAAAGAATGTGGAACGTGCTTTTGGTGTGCTTCAATCCCAATGGGGTATCGTTCGAAACCATGCAATGTCATGGGATGAAAGGAAGCTTTGGAAGGTGATGACTGCTTGTGTGATCATGCACAACATGATCGTCGAGGACGAGCGTGATCACACTATCTTCACCCAAGGATTTGGTTATTAAGGTGAGAATGTTGAGCCCCTGCATCAAGAATCGGCCACATTTGAACAGTTTGTCCAATTCCATCATGAGCTGCGTGATTGGCACACTCATTTGGATTTTCAATGACTTGCTTGAGCACGTGTGGGATCACATTAGCAACCAATAGATGTATTGGTTCATTTTATGTTCATTCAAGACAATTTTGATTTGATTGTAAAACTATTTTATTAGAGATAATTTTGATTGGGTTGTAAAACTACTTTTACTTTCAGACATTAATATTTGAATGTACAAACTTGTTTTGATATGAAAATATGAGCATTTTTTATCCTGACGGACATGACCTCATTGCCCTACCCAATCGAACCGATTCCGGACAAAGCGGGCATCAGTTTAGGATCGCGCGATGGAGTTGGCCTGATGCGCGATGCTGGGACTGTTCCTGGGATTTGCACGTCGCGATGACACGTCGGAACGAGCGGCCGGCGGCCATGTGGCAGCCCGTCACCGGAGCGCCAAGCCAAGCCCACACGGCGGACGGCGACCGATGTTTATCCATCCTTCTCTTTTCTGGGGACGACGTGTCGCTTCATAGGTGGCACAGGTTTGGCGTTGTGGATTAGCAACGGATGTAGCGTTAATAATGTGTGGTGGTGAATTTTCATTGTTCGATGGCTCGTGTGGGTTTGAACGCGCCAAACCGAAGGCCGTTGGAACACGAAAGCTCCCCCGCGAATCGTCGACTTGTTCCCAAAAGTGGTAGATTTCCTTTCGGCGACTATGGATATGATCCTGATATAACCGAGTTCAGCATCGAAATGATAGCACCGAGAAACGCATGCGATTTTGTTAAATTTTCGGTCTATAGTTAGTTTTGGCTTAAATTTTGAAAATAAATAAATCAGGGTCGTCCATTCTCAATACAAGGCTGCACTAAATATCGCTAGGATAAAGAAACATCAAACAGCAGCCATAAAGCCAACTCCACCGCACAACCCTAAACGGACGTTCGGTTTGGCCGGATTTTGTCCCTTTGGGGGCGGCAATGGGTTCGCCCATGTTCGCATCCGATGGGTCGTTGGTGCGCTCAGTGCGCGGTCGCATCCCAAATCATGTCCGTGTTAGACGCGATTAAAAAAACATAAAAAATTAAATAAAATGTCTTAAAAAAGTAAATAAATGCAGTTAAAAACTTAAAACTAAAGTTACGTTCATGGCCACAAAACGGCTCAGTTTCACGTCCAACTTAGTGCCATAATTAAACATAAAAAAAACGGCCGCCGTCCGCGCGCTCCTGCCCATGCCCGTCGATGCCGTCGCCGTCTTCAGTGGCCGCCGGTATCGTCATCGTCGCTGACGAGGTCGACGTAGGCCGGCGGCGTCAGGAGGTGGGCCGGCGGGGCCGGAGGTGCGTGGTAGACGGGAGCGGGAGGTGCCTGCACCACCTCCTCCCATGGCGACGCCTCCCGCTCCGGTGCCCGCGGCGGAGTGACGCACCAGTTCACGCCCATGGCGTCGATCATCTCCTCCGTAGTCCACGACCAGCCCCACCCCTGGCCCACCAGGCCTGGGTGGAACGCGGCCACCGGTGCCTCCTCCATGACCTCCTCGAGGATGGCGACCTCGCCGGCGGCGGAGCGGGCCACCATCTCCTCGAGGCCCTCCCATTGCCGCTCATCGTGCGTGTGCATTGTGTCCTCCATGACACGCGCCATGAGACGGGCCTCCTCCTTCGCAGTCATGCGAGGAGGTGGTGGTGACGATGGAGATGGCGAAGGCGACGACGTGAGGCCGCACACCCGCCTACGTCCGTGCTCCTGGGGAGTAGGCGCTGCGCGCTCCCGACGTGGCCGCCGTGCCGGCGAAGAAGGAGGCGCGCCACACGTCGTGCTCGTCCATGAGCCAGGTGTCCTAGATATGTGAGTCCGGGGTGTACCTGTCGTCGTAGTACATGTCGTCGGGGAGGAGTCGGCGGCGGTACTCGATCTCCTCACGGCG